ACGGGTGCAATGTATTATACATATAAACCTTCCTCTTATATTTCCTATTATATAGCGATCTAAGTAAATTTTTAGCATTTAAAATACATGGCGTTCATAATAAAAGACCTGTTTAAATGTTTTCAAAACATTGAAGGAAAGCAACTTTCCACAACACACTTTCATTTACTGCCATGAACGGGAACTTTACCGACCGGAGTATTCATAAAACTCAATAGCTCAATTAAACTTTTATACAATCAAGTATAACCGCTAGTAAGTTTTATCGCCCAGGATTATTTTATAATCATAAATAATTATATACATTACACATGGGAGTAAGGCCGAACCCAATGCAAAAAAAGAATTGTAAAATCGCTTCATCAAAGGACAATGCCCACTTCCCATACATTTAAAAACCTGATAATGACAGTGTATGTATAGTTACAAGGTATAGCAGAAAGACTACCTTTAAGTTAATACATTAATATCATATAGTCATTTTAACGATTGCTGGTCTACGAAGTCCAAAAATTATTAAAAAATGCTCCTTTTTAGGTTAGGATTTGCAGTTACCTAATATAACGAAATAAATGTGCTAGAACTAACTATTTTCGCTCAAGTTTATTCTAAAATAATAATATTAGCCTATCTAAGGTCTAAAACGTCTTTTTATTTGTGAATTCCTAGAAACCGACTGCCCTTACGTCACTGCTTAGACTCGATTATTGTCACTATAAATTGAGTGAAGAGAATTATCTGCTGTTTCAACAGCTCACATAAGTACTTACTAAAAAAACGTAAGTTAAAAGTGATCATTTATCTGCCCTACATATTTCATTGGCCTGCACTACAATACATAAGAATCGATAATTATAATACCTAATGAATAAAACGGGGGAAAAAATAAAACACTATGTTACAGTGGAATAGTTTATTAATTATCATCATCTTCACTTAAATGTCTTATAACTATGTTATCTAGAAATTCTGCTATAACAGAGATATTTTCTTGATAGTTCATCCGAAGTACCGCACTAGTCATAACATCGAGTGCAACATCCTATGGTTCGCCAACCAACTAAACAATTACAACAGTATTCGACTATACTAGCTCTGCCAGACACATTATTTTCTATTAAAATGTAGATATAATATTTTTTTCTTTAAATGTGCCAGGACTTAATTTTTCGTCTTATTAGTGTTATGTCACCACTTCCTCTCAGATTATTCCTAGAAAACTCCTGTGTCCCTACATATTTCTATTCTATATGATCCATGAAAGCGAATATATTCGCCATAATAGGATTTGGCTTGCCTTATTTGGTACCTAATGCAAATAGTATAAGTTCACTAATAACTTAATCTCAGAAAGATAAATAAATTATCTTCAGTAGTAGAAACACCACAAACTTCAGCAACATGCCTAATATGTGTGGCAGCGCTCTTACAACTCATCCAGCATGAATGGCATATTCTATCGGATGATGATATCTACAAAAGAAAACTATCTACAGAAGAAGTAATAAGGCAATAATTATTATTGATCTTAAAATATATTTTTATAAAAAATCAATATGTATTTATTTGTGGTTAAAATTATTACAGCATCAGTCAATTAATAAGAGATACAATAATTTACATCTAAAATACAAAAGAGAAATAATCTAGAGTAATAGTATCAAGTTTTATACTGGCAAATGATTAACAATGTAGAAACATGAATATGTGATGTTGTGAACTTGTTTGTATAATAGCATTTATCTGTCTTTGCTTTTCTGAAGGATTATCAAAAACTGTTCTTCGAGATAATCCTGAAGCTTGAGCAACATCACAGCTTGTTAATTCCTGGTTTATTCTTCTCATAAAGAGTTCATTACAAGATTTACAAATGTAATCTTCCTCAGTAATCTGAAAAATAAAATAAAAAAATAAAAAAACATATTGAGTTTATAATACATATTTTGGATATATAAATCTTTTGAACAGTTGTTTGTGTTATGTTACAGGTATAATTTATAGGAGCTTTGTTAGTTTGATTAGGACATGATTGACATTTTTAGATTAAAAATAATAAACATAAATACTCACAATTACTGGCGAATACCGATGAGTTTGAGTCACTCGCAGAACTGTCAAATGTCAAAAAAATCCACTTACGTCAGCCGTGCGAACTTTATTACATGCTGCATTAATAATTATTTTTTTATTTTTAATAAATTGTACTACTAATAAGGTTGATCTTAATTTTACTTTACAAATACTGTTAATTACGTGCTTACTCACTTCTCTAAAACGTAAAATCACGTACAAAACTCAGAAAAAGTTGAATACAGTCAAGTAGGTAGTGTGAAAAATGGAACGTCCTATGCAAAGGATTGTTAAGGTGCATTCAAAACATGGTAATATGTTTACCCTTGAAGTAAAATAAGCGTAAAGAAATATCAAAAAATATTTTTTTCCCGACCTTCTTTTAACATTGTGATTAGTGTAATTACTATAAAATAAAATTAGCTAAATTTTAAATTTATTTCACTTCTATACACAATCAGGTCAAAAATGGGCATTGTTCTTTGAGGTATCAAACAAAAAATGTAACGTAATTAAAATCATCTTTTTTTGAAGTCGATAATACAGTCGGAAAAAAGACATATCACGAAAGTTCACGCGTTCCCCTCTATCGCTCTCAAACAGCGTTGCTACGAAGAAGTCCATTAAATTCGCAGCCAATTAACCGGACGGAGTCTTTAACGACTATTCGTGACGTCACGGCGACCGTTTCATCCCGACCGTCAGTTAGAAATCTGTCTAGCCCGTCGATCGTCGGGGAGTTGAGTGAACTTGGGCTGACGAGTCGAACTATAAAACCGTAGTACAACCCTCGCGTACGGAATGATACTGACGCGAAGCTATTGTCCGTGATTAACGTGTCTACGTTACACCAAGCCGAGTGTTTACGCTATCGGACGCTAACTGCTGAGCGTACACAGCGAGGGCGGGATCTCGTGATTTCTCCACGACACGAATCCGAGCAATTCCATGACTAGGTCTAACCGAAAACTCATATGCACGTGTGACCTGCAAACTAATAGTTATGTTTTCGATGTCGCATTTTTTTTTAAATTCCAGACGATTTGAATTCCGAACTGAGTTAGTTAAATGTTATCATGTATAACATATTAACAACTACGCTTATTTAATAATTACCTTCACGTAAATACATGTAATATGTGAAAACTTCATAAAACAATTGTAAATTTTCTATTTAGCCGCTTAAAAATAATACTGCTAGAAGCTTAGTAAATTTCATAATGACAAAAAAAATGATCGTGAAAATGGTATACATAATCCTCTAAGATAATATTATTCAAAACATCTAATTCAAAAGTTATAGTGAGTTAAAGTCGATTGAAAACTCACTGTACTGGCGATAAAATATCCGTTACTGACATGTAATAAGCAAATGTTTAAGATAAAAAGAGGCGAGTAAGGATCGTGCTACCCTTCTCAGTGACGTGATTATTTTAGTATGTAGGTAAAGGTAACCGATAACCAATAGGGAAGAAAGGTTCTCGAGTGGCAGCCTAGTATTGGCCGTCGTAGTGTAGAACACCATATAGCAACCATAGTTTTCTTTTCATCCAAAATCAACTTTCGCTCGCACAATTAAATAGATCTTTATCGAAAAATGCGAGCCGGGAGGGCGACAAAGGCGAGCGAATTCGCCCGCAACAAAAAACCCGTGAGACGTGATGGAAGGCCTTAAGTGAGAATCGATGTTATGATTAGGGGGCGGTTGACACCGCATCTCGGAGAAATGACGCCGAAGTGAGGACGAGTCATAACTTCCTCTAGTGGCTAGGTGTTATTTTTCTTAAAGGTACTCTAATGGATACAAGATTAGATCGGATGCGAGTTTTGGTGACGAAGAACATTCTTTTTGATAAAAGAATAATTTTATTCTTGAAGCTAACGTAAAAGCTGTTATTTAAAGTATTGCAAAATCTCACTCGCAGCTTGCAATGTCGAAGAAAGAGCGGTCACAAATTATTATCAACAATTTAAACAATGAAATCAAAACTGATCCGATGAAACCTATTTAGAAAACGACTAAAACTGACAGAGACCATTACCAGGTTTGTACAGGTGAATTAGTAATCTTTGATGATCTCTTGTCCGATATTTTCATTATCCTTCCCAGTCCCAGAAGAAACTGAACGATTTTGTTTATAATTAAGACCCATAGTTTCCGTTTTTAGTATACTCAGAATTAATCCGCCTTTATTTCAAAAAATTTTTTGTGACAGTATTCACTTTGTGTTACTGCCGTCTATGGACATCTACGACACCCGTAGGGTTTAATTATATTGCAAACATTTAAGACAGTGGCCCAGGTTACAAGACAAAGTTTTACGACACATTACTCTACATATTTATGAGATATTAAAGGGAGGTCTAATCTAAAACAACTGTCAAAAAATCTTATACAAAAGAGACAAACATGATTGAAGCTGTCAGCAGCGATCAAAATCGATAAGCGTTCTTACATGTGTATGGCTTTGTACAATATCGCTTCAATAGATTCTAAATAGCATGAGTAATGTACGCTCGCTTTCAAATGGCTTTTATATTTGATTAGTATGAGAAATTTTCGACGACTCGATTGGCGTAGTGACCCTGCCTCTTACACCAGAGGGTGTGGGTTCGATCCCCACTAATGGAAAAATATTGTGCGATGAACATAGTGTTTACCAGTTTCTGAGTTATATATGTATACTATGTATTTATTTACATAAAGAAAAGTGTGTTTAAGTATGTTTATCAGTTATAATACCCGTAGTACTAGCGTTGTTTAGTATGGGACTAGAGAATGCTGTGTAAGTATGTGTCCTAAAATATTATTATTATTATTTCAATATACAGTCGCGTGCATAGATAGAGCTTTTGTGTCGTTTAGTGGTGTGATCAATGTAACGTCGCGTTCGTAGTTAATGTTTTCATTCACACTACACATAATCCTAATGAACGCAACTGTACCCGAGCCTCATGAGCGTCACGCGACGCTCGACGTCTACACAGCCGCGAGAGTCTGCTCCGTTAATATAATACCGTCCGGCAAAGAACAATGGAAGTCTCGGGCGATAATAGAGCCACGCTACCGGTCCCATATCATCGTTGACATTGCCCCCCCCCCCCCCCCCCCCCCTTTCTTTCCTCTCCGCCATTTTATTGACACCGCCGCGTGACGCGTAAGTACGCGTTAAGAGTGCGTGCTAGCTACAAGTTTACTGTGTTTATACAAAAACTTTCTTCCAAAGTGTTATTGAGTGCATTTGGTTGTTTTGATCATATTTGGTTGTAAAGTTGAAGCCTTTAAACTTAACTTTACAACCAAGGTCAACATCATAGTACGGTGGAAGAACAATAAATCAACAACAGCAAATTTATGATATCAGTGGTCTTCCTTAATTGCATAAACATTAATATCGTTTCTTTTTATGTGAAAAAGTGGAAAACGGGCTGGCGGTTTACCTGATGTTGATTTTAAATAATAACCGCCGCCCATAGACATTTGAAACACCCATAGAGTTGCAAATGCGTTGCCACCTTTTAATAAAGTGGCTCCAAGCTACCTCACTCACCAGACGAAACGCAGTGTTACACTTCTACTTTACGCCGGTCTTCTGTGTACTTCTTCGGTGTACTTACCCAGACGGACCTGCCCCTCGTGCAACAGTAAAAGCTGTTACGTGGCCATACCTAAATATCGCATAATCTATTTGTTGTTTTGCCAAATAAATTATTTCTAGGGTATTTGTAGGGTAGAAAAAAATGTTTGGGGTGGACCATCCATATCATTTAGGGGTATAAAAATTAGATATAAACCTATTCTCATACCTACAGAATATAATAAAATTTCATTACAATCGTAAAATTTTTGTAGAAGCCGTTTCTGAGGAGTATAAACACTAAAACTGTGACAAGAATATAGAAGATGTCTCGTATAATGTATATTTATATAAAATAATCTCGTATACAAAGACGTAAGGTATTCGTTCGCGCTGCCTCTCTTGCCCTGGCTTTCTCTGATAATAACGTATTTGTTCAATTTATAATACCTCATGTCAAGAGCTTGACATTTTTAATGCACAATGCAACATTAAAAAGTTTATTCATTTTAAATTATTAGTTGTGTTTATATTTTTTTTGCCCCTTATTTTTTTTTCTTCTATTTATTATAATTTTATAGTTAGTAATTTTCATATATGTTTTTGTTTTTTTGTTCCTAAATGTATTTATATTTATTTCTTTTTCATCATAGATTTTTGATGTTTATCAATTTATGCATGATGAATACGGCATAATAAATGTCACAGATTTCACTAGATACGCTCGACGAGGCGTGACCGATTTAATCGGCAGCAGACGTGTATAATATACTAAAAGCGGTCAATTCTAAAACACCAACGGACAAGCAAACAGCAAAGTCAGACTAATTCGGTAATAGTTTACGAAAGACCGTTCAAATACGAGCGACGCTAATAATCCTCGAGATTCGCCACAGCTCGCTGCAATGCAGGACTCCGCTAATTCACGCTAAAGTTCCCCGAGCGAAATGTGTCAAAGCGCTTATCCCAGTTTTTAATCACTCCATTTTCCTTCCTGCCAATTATCGTCGTCGGTTCGTCAAATTAGCGTTGGTTTTGAGTCTTTCTGAAACGCGGAGAAAGAACTAAAGTACGAATTTTATAGAATATAGCGGAAGGCAAAATATAAAGATAATTTTATTTATCATATTGGAAACGTGTGTATTCCGCGTTATTCTATTACATGTTGAAAATCGATACAACTAACTTTAGAAATGAGAAAATAAATGAAATTAGATAATTATTAATTATACATTGAATTTGGTTTAAAAAATTACACGAAATGCATACTACAGCTTTCCTTTTGTAGACCCGAAGCATCACCAGTTCTGGTTTTCTCGGAAACAAAAAAAAATATGTTTGTGGGATAACGGACCTAAGTCTGTTCCAAACTTCTAAATTGTATTAAAACCCGTTTAGCCAATTACAGTTTTTCATTTTAATATACGTGTACAAGTGAAGTTCCTACTAAAAAGGAGCTCCTTCTACACATTCCATAAGTTCGAGAAAACTGAGTTCAATCCCCCAGCCGAATCTCAACCAATGAAATTGTTAATTTAAAGTGTATACAGAATGTCGTTACCACCGCGACAATAAATAAACACACATATAGAGGATAAATTTTTAAAATTGGATTAAACATTTAATTCAACAATTCTTAATTTAAACAACATTTCTTCAAACATCAATATTTACAGAGTTATAAAATTTTCCAAATACAACAATTTCAGAACACCCTTACGTATAAAACTGTAACGTAAAGTTCATTTGTAAAGGTCACAAAGCATATGAATGGGTTGAATGAATTTAAGAGAGACAAAACATAATGTTAGAAGGAGAGGCCTGTAATGCGACGCTGTGGCACGAGTTGTATAGGATGTTACAAATTTTGTTTCTTTTTTACTTAATTAGTTTGTTTGAAAAATATTTTTTAAATTATGTATTTGATTTTGTTTAACGTTAATATTTTTTATGATTATTAGCAAGTAGCGTTAGACGTGTGTTCATTTATTGTCGCGATGGTAACGACACGCTGTATACATACTCATTATAACAATGAACTTCATGACTCTTGCATATTATGTTAAGAATATTATTATTGAATGGACCTGGTCACTGAGGCCATATTTCTCTCTTCCCGCCCGTACAGAAGCGTTTATGGTTGGGCAACACGCCAACGATAAATCGCTAACTCTACCTCGGCTCCGACAAGCCGAAACAGTCGCGTGTCACGTGGAATGACATCACGGGAACATTATTAGGCTTCGGCCGATTATATTAACTTAATGACGTTAACGCTATCGTTGAACATCGTGTTAGGTGAGAATTGCTGTACGGCACGCGACTACCGAAAAAGGCTACAACTGGTCGCGATAACGTACTAAACACGGACTTTGCTAGTGTGTGGTGAAGTGACTCCGACCTTACAGAAGACTGACACTTTATGAAATGGTGACAACGTATATGGAAACCCTACGGGGTGTTGCAAATGTCAATACGCAGTGGATATCACTTAACATCAGGTGCACACCGCCATCTCGCTTGCCACCTTCTGTCATAAAAAGTGCGACTTTACATAAACAATAGAGATAGATGGATGTCACAGATTAGTATAGTATAGGCATATACTCGAGCAACCTGAGTTCAAATGGTTGCGGTACTAATGAAATTGATAATTGCAAGTTAAAGTGCTAAAATAACACGTGCTCGGCGGTGAAGGAAAACATCGTGAGAAAACCTGCCTGCATATTTCGAAATGCAAACATCTGTTATCAATATATATACTATCCTCTGGAGTATTCTATAAATACATCGCATTAAAATGTCCAGAAAACCAAATAGCACGTGTTGACTGTACATCAAAGAGACGGAAAGCGATTTGGACTGGACCGCGAACGAGAGGGCAATACTCTGCCCCGCACTGTAAAAACCAAGTACTGTGCAATGAATCGCAAGAACTTCAAAGGCTCCTCATCTTGCGCGCTCTATAATTGCACATTGTTCATCCAAAGCCATAACAGTCCCGAGTCGCGACACCGTTCACCTCTAGACCGAGGACAAGGTCGTCCGGAGCCCGAAATATTAATAACGAAAGAAACTAAACCATAAAGCGTGTCGGCGATACGGCACGTTTGCCGCGAAAAATATGGGATAGCCCCGGAGGCTGCGCGGCGCCAGATATGAAACCGACCGTGGTGTATTAATAAAATACATATTTTATTCAGAATTTGGAATGAAATGTATATTATATTTTTTATTTACTTGAAAAGTTGACAAGCATGCAGTCCGTTCCCTGGTGTTAACACGTTACTAATGGACAGATGCCTGGTAATCACTACCAGGCATCTGTCCTCTGGAGTATTCTATAACCTCGATATAGAGATCATGCAAATGTCAGCATCAAACCAATCGTGGCACAAGCTAAAATAATATTATCAATAAAAATTATAATATAAGTATACGTTATATTGACAAATGATTGATTCGTTATGAGTAATACGGAAAGAATATACTTTAACTATCATCTGGTAAGTGAGGTAGCTGGGGCCGCTTCTTATAACGCCACGCATTGGTAGATCCATCGGTAGCGGTAAATTTTTAACACCAGATGAGTAACTTGCCCATAATTCAACTCTTATACTCTAAAGTAAATTTAAGAGCTGTTGACTGGAAAGATAAATTATCAAACAGTGAAGTAGACGTTGATGTAGAGCGATTTTATGATGTTTTGAATTCGATCATCTCTGTTAATATTCCGCAAAAACGACACAACTTAAATCAATATCCGCCATGGTTTAGTGATACCGTTAAACGATGTATCAGAGAAAAAAGGAAATATCACACAAAATTTAAAAAGTATGGCAACCCACGAGATTATGACACTTTCGTTGTACTGCGAACTCGATCAAAAAAGTTGATTTCTGAATGCTACCACCGATTTTTAAATTCCATGGAAACTTCTTTAAAAAGTAATCCTCGACAATTCTGGAAATTTGTGAAGGGTAAGCGTGTGTCCAACTCAATCCCGCAGGTTGTGACATTTGAAAACGTAATTGCATCTAATGGTAAAGACATGTGTGAAATGTTCTCTAAATATTTTGCCACCGTGTTTGAAAATGACATTAACAGAACATCCATTAAATTAGATTCAGTGCAACCTATAAATGTAATGGCGAAATTAAAATTGTCTTACGATGAAATTTTACATAAAATACGTCACTTAGACATAAAAAAAGGTCCCGGTCCAGATGGTATTCCACCTATATTTATTAAAAACTGTTATGAGGAATTGACGACACCACTCTTCATTATCTTTAATAAATCACTGAGACAAGGAGTTTTTCCGCATAAATGGAAAGTATCTCATGTTATACCCATATATAAGTCGGGTGATAAAAACTTGTGCCAAAACTATCGTCCTATAAATATTCTCTGTACATTTGCGAAAAATTTTCGAATCCCTGATATATCCCCATATATATGCTTGGGCAAAACCTTTTCTTTCTAAACAACAGCGTGGTTTCGTTTCTAATAAGTGTACGGTAACAAATTTATTAGAACTACAAAGTTTTGTCTTAACGCATTTGAAAAACACA